CACAGGTGAAGATGATACTGACGCGATGTCATTTTTTGCTTTCTCATTATCATTTCACGTCCTTTTGGACAAAATTCTGCTGAAATATTTCTTGGTAACCTCTAGTTGGATCGTTGCTGAGATTGCTCTGCATCCATATTTTTGTGCATTTTGTAATTTCTACGCACCGCACAAAATTTATGGATTGAAAGTGATGGCGGCGCGCTCTTAATATCACTGGTCCCATGCGGCCAGAAAAGTCAAAACGAGTGTTGTCTTCAATATGTTAAGATGCTTACTAAATTTCTTATCACGCATCATTCGCGGTGCGTGTGTGTCATTTCCAATCGTTCGCAGTTAACTGGCCAATCTCTCAATCTAGCAAAGTCTGAACAAGGTTTATCATCTCCTATCAATTTCCCATCATTGCTGCGTTTGCAGGTTGTTCGTATGGTGTTGAAAATTGATGATGTGAGAGTGCCTGAGGACGAACAGCAGCACGGCTATTAAAGGACGTGCCAATTTTGCCCCAAGATATGCTTAATCATCTTCTCATCCTCTGATCTTTGTGTAATAATCTTGCAGTCGATTACCCGCTGAACCCAAATGATTGCCATGAAGCAGTTGTTTGCTAATCAAGTTTTACTAGTTTTCAAGTTTTAATAATGGTTATAGTAAGCTCCAGTAGCTGTATGGCTTGTCATATCCATTATTTTCGATGCTTTGCCTCTCTCATTGTTGTAAAAACTCTTGGTTGAATAACCTTTGAGTATGTTTTCTTTTATTGTTGTTTTGTTGTTAAGAATAAAAAGTTTCGGCAGCTTTTTCAGTTTTGTTTCGCGGTTCCATCCGAATGACGTTACCTTCCGGAATTATGTTTTTTGAAAGTTTTATTCTCGAAGATTGATGATAGTTGCAGTATGCATCGAGTAATTTTCTATTTCCAGAAAAAGTTCTAATGATGAACACTTGATTTTGGGCGCTCGGTCTTTACAGTTCCGAAAATGTCGTCGATAGTCACATCAAATGGTCATGCAGTTACTGCTTCGACGCTCAATAAAGAAAAGGTAAGTCGTGCTCAAAAAACATACAAATCATCCGTATTATTGGAACTACCTTGTATTTCTTAATTTTTTAATTATCGATTAGTTTCTAATCTCGCAATTGCACCAAAAAATCGAAAAATTTATGAGTCAGCTATCAGAAAAATGTTGTAATTGTAATATCCATCGCAGTCGATTACATGGATTTTTTCTGGTTTCTGAGTCATACACTTGTGCATTCTTAAAATATGTTCTCTGTTTGCTGTACAATCACATATTGCCTGTCAATGTCGTTTTGACGTTCTACCTCATCTCTTACTTGTGGTTCTGCTTTGCATGATTTAATATCTGTCTCGTCATAGCACTTATCGTCGTTATGGATAAGTTATGCACTTCTGATTGGAGGGGTCTCGTGGAATTCCTTGTATTTCTAGAGAAAAGGTTATTTATGACTGATGTTTCACGGCTGAAAGTTTTTCGATGGGCACATTTATGTTCGTTAGCGTGATGAAGATGAATGATGTATTTAATTTCCGTAGGAAATTGAGAATCAAGAAATATTATCGTTGGGGAATTGATTTTCGAGTAGTTCATAGAAATTTTGGTTCGCTTCTTCAAAATGCTAGGATGGAGTCTTATCATTTTATGATAAGGGGTTCGATAACTGCGCGCGGAGCAGGCATTCTGGTCAGTGATGACGTCTGTTCTTTCAAAAAGAGCTCGGAAGTTAAGCGAGGTGATAGCGTCGTTTGACGGCGATTCAATTATTGCGACTTGTGGAGTTGCTGATAAAGCTGTGGCTGAGAATAGTTATCAGTTCCACGAAAATTCATTAGAGTTCGTTTTACCGCATACACGACCTATGTTTAGTGAATGTTTTGCTAGGCGAATCAGCCTCTTCTCTCTTGAGATAATTCTTCGCGTTAATATTTAAAGCTTAAAAATCTTTCCGATGTCACGATGTTCCTCTTTGTACCTAGCAACATTGTTTTATGTTGTTAGTGTCACAACCCGGTTGAAGTCAAGTGAATGAATCCTTTTGATGGGTAGGATAGACAGATTTGATGTACGAAGGTTGTAGATGCTCCGTTCTCCTGGCTCTGAAGTGGGCGACGAAGGCGTTAGGGTCTTGCAGAGACCGCTTCATCAGCTTCCACTTCTCTCGTCTGCTGCATAGTGACGTCCAGCGCGCGCTCGTCCGTGGTGCTTTCTCGCCTAGACTCTCTCGCACGTGCATAGTCTCTCTGCCTTGATAGAGAAGTGAGTAGCCCTAAGTTGAGCTTTTCGGTAGGTTCTCTTCCTTTTTTCTTCACTTCCAGCCTAGTTCAGACCAGTGTTTTCATTTTCACAACGTGCAGGGGCCGAACAACTTTGATTTTGACTCATGCCTTTAATGTCGCTAATATCAGAAGGAAGTATCGGGTTTGTATTGCTGAATGCCTCAATACTTTTGATACTAAGTGAAGTATTAAGGTGTTAAGAAGTAGATTCATCCGTAAGTCAATCCCAAGCCTGAGCACGTGTAAGCTCACGGCTTATGGCAGAGACAACACGGAATCAAAGATCAGAATTTACGAAGTTGGTGTTAGCTCCATCCACCTAGTCATATTTCTGAAGGAAAGGAGGGAGGGGGGACGGGGGAGTTCTTAGGAGGCAGGGGGTTTAGTATATGATGTTTAATCTAATACGTAAATATTAATAAGATGTTGATATCGTAGCTCTAAATGTAAGGTCTGCGGCGCTGCAAAACTAGGTTCAGGTTAAATACCATGAGTTTGGGTTACAACTAATGGCTATGAAGTTTGATCTTCTGCTGCTTCAATTAGGAAATTGATTTTAGCATAGGGCGGAAATCCGGCATCATTAGGCGGCAATTAGAGTTAGGAAGCCACCCTCTAGAATTAATGGAATGATTACCTCATAGTGCAAATGTGTGGGAATGAAAAAAATTTCAATTTGGCCGAATTGTTTTACCTTGAAACTTGAAAAAATTTTTCACTTTCGAACGTGTTTTGGCAGCAAAACCAGTGGGATCTATAAACGTGATGATCAATAAACGTGTTATGTTGTGCGACTACAAATCGTCCTTCAAATTAGAACACCAAAGATCAGTCGGCGTGTGACAGCAGCAAATGAGGCTGCTGTCACACACAGATTGGTCTTCATAGGCTAGGCCGATGTTGCGCCATTTTTATAGATTGTTTTTTTCTAATGTAAACTTTTCTTATGGTAAGTGTTCCGGAAGTTCTCTGAGCGTATGGAGTAGTTTGGCCGTTTTCCTGATTCACTCATCAATCACAGTCGGCCCAACGTAGTTGTGTGTGTACTACAAGTGAAGGGTTTGTCCATACGCTGAAATCACGTAGGTCGTTGAAGTTTCTCTGTTGCCTGCTCTATTTGCTGTGCCCATCACTTGCGACCAGGTGTTCACTCTTCGTGACGTCGACGAAGAAATTGCGTTGGCATCTCGCCATGCGCCAACTGGTTCCCGTCCATTTGTGTGACGTCAGTGACGGGGTCGTCATTCTGTTGACTTTTTTTTTAGGTTATTGCCTTTCAATGATTGAAGAATTCAGTCGCAGGCTATCTCTCATAAAGATTCTTTGCGCTATTCAAAAAGGAAATTATCGTTTTTCTCAATCTGCTGAGGCGTTTGAAGCGCTCACGTTTGCGGTGTTAATGATTCTGGAATGTTTCATATTGCATTCTGGATTTTTCTTTATTTTTTCCTTTTTCTGGAAAAATCAACTCTAAGAAATTTCGCCTTTTTTACAGTTTCTTTCTCGAACATCTTGGTGTATGGATGGCCTCTCGAATGTACATTATTTGTTGTGAAATTTTATTCTCTCTCTTTTTCCTTTTTTTTCTGGAGAAACCGGTATAACTAAAGAGATCGCTTGTTCTTCGTAGTTTCCTGGACGTTGCTGCATTACGTCATCGCAAAGCAGGTCTAATACCTACTGACGTCAATAGAATTGATTTTTGTGGGACTGTTCGGAAAAGTTGTCATAGTAGGGTTTAGTCGGTAAATGATGAAGTACTTAACATTGATCGATTCCTTGAGAGTGTGCCATGCATTTCGTGTTGCTTTCAAAGTTGAAAGGTATCCGAATGTTCATCCGACCCGTGCGAGGAATTGTGTATCAGCGATGAATCTGACTCAATCTCAATAAGGACTTTTAGAGCGAGTCGACATAGGTTCAATCTTGCCAGGAAAATCTGACATAAATTCAATTACGAGCGAAGTGATGTACTGCCAAATGGCGCTGCTTATCATGCACGCGATTTAGGGCCCGTATGGAGCAGTACGCGGCCGTAGATGGGTACTCAAAAATGCGTCTCTGCTCCTGTCGATGACGCATTCCCCATGGTTAAGAATAGTGCGCGTCGAGAAACGCAGAGTCTTGGAGACCCATCTCCGGCCCTGGGTACTGCCACATGCAGTCTCAAGGCCGAATCTCGATAAAACAGCCATGCCATACATTCCTTTCTTATCAATAGGTCGGTCCCAGACGTGCTTGGGCGGATAAAAACATACTCGTAGATCTGCTGGATTTCACAAGTTATTCTGTAGGCCAAGTCACATTCGCAAGAGACTATCAGTCTGAACAGAAGTAGAATGCGTGGCGCGGCCAAGGATGGGTAAACACCGAAGCATTACGTTGAAGGCTATTTACGCTCGCCTGTTCTGGGTACGATTCAGCCTTGCAATTACCGCCAATGAGTTACGCCTTTGAGTCATCTCCGCTATTTTATCCTGTGCTCTTAGGCGCCTAGCAATGGTCAAGCGTATGAGGCCAGCGATAATTGAGGTTTACTTGGCGTTGTCTTTTTCATTCTAATTCGTTGTTCTGCGGATCATGTTGGAATGAAATTCTTGAGAGCTCCTAAGCTTCGGTGACGATGTTTCGGGCCTAAAGTCTTTTTATTTTCAACCTATTATTTTTTCTATTCAATGTAGTTACTAATACGCTGTATGTTGGCATTTTTGTAGACCGTAGAAACGGTAAATATCTGGAAAGTATTTGCATTACGCTTAGAAGAGTTCCATTTCGATACAGTCTGAACAAAAATCTCACATTGTGAAGCTCACGACCCTCTGATCTTAGTCACTATTTTTCTTCTGAATTCACTTTTTCGGACAGCTTGATTTGATTCAACAGCTCGTGAGATCGAAGTGGTCTAGTCGGCTAACGTTTCGGCGATTTCGCTTTCTTCGGAATGTAAAAGTCTCATTTTTTGCATCTTGCAGATTTTTGCAGATGAAATGTTTTTTATTGCTCTCCTCTGAAATTTTCCATTTATTGTGCTGCTTTTTTTACGAGTTAACTTTCTCGAAATTTCAGCGAGTGCAAATCGTGACGAGTGACGTGTCACCGGGTGTCGATCTGCTGGAGACTCCGAATCCGCAAAGACTGCTGGGACTCGGAGGAACAACGCCGCTCGGAGGTGGCTATCAGGACTACAGTTTGTTTTTTTTCATTTCGAGTATACCTTAGGAGGACTTACTTAGAGTGCGCATTGATTTTTGAACTCTGTGGTAATTGAGTAGGTATGCAGGCGGCTTTAAGCGGATTATTGGAATGTCGCAATGGGATTTCCGAGAGGTATGAATGGTTTAAGCCTTTCACGTGCTCCTATCCATTACATTTTTTCAGTGCTAGTGAATTAGACGCGTGCATGGAGGGTGTGATTGTCAGGGAATGTGATAGGCGAACGCAATTTGGGAGGGGGGGGGAGGTATGAGCTTTCTTCTGCTAGTTGGTCCAAATGATATCTAACCCAGAAATTTGGTTATTAAGTCCGTAGTGGTGATTGATCTGGGAGTTAAATCGCGTAATAATTAGAATCGACCTTTGTCGTGGAATTGTGATGTGTGGTGTCAGTCAGATGTAGCGGCCGGTCGGCCAGCAACTATGATGATGCGCCGCAGCGTCACTGCTGTGATTGCCGTATTACAGCGCTGACCTGCCCATGCTATGCTACCATTGTCACCTGGGATCGTTTTTGATTTTCTGCAACGGGCACAATCGAGGTACAGCTGTTATTTACGCTATTTCATTCATCCACAGGGTCCAGAGTACGACGAGATTTTTTTTGTTTTTCATGATAAACAACTTCCGCCTTGTCAGTGTGTAAAGCTCGTTTTTTATGTGGAATCAATAAAAGTTGGCTTGGTGATCAAAGCCCTCCCATGTTGAGTTTTTGGTTTTCCATGCTTGTGGAATGGTAGGAGATTTCTCCTTCTCCTTGAGCGTTGCATGATAAGGTGCAAAGTATGCGCGAAAACGTGCGAGAGACGAGTGGAAGGAGAAGGGATTGTCTGGGTAGAATTACCGTAATAGTCTTCATAAGGGTTGCAAGCAAGGGCGGATCGGCTACAGAACCCGAATCTGGCATGATTTTGTCAAGAATCGCACAGCAATTGGGGAGCAGGAACTGACGTTTGAAAAGATTTGCAGTAATTGCGGTCATACCCATCTTGTGTTGGCCGCAGGTATGATTTGAACTTGAAATTGTGCTAGTAAAAGTCATTCAATTCATCATTACAGTCGTTTTTACGGTGAAATGCTGTTCAAGGCTACTCTGCTTTCAGCTCTTGGAAAAAGCGTAGGGTTTCAAATAACTCAATTCATGCGAAGAACCTTTTACAGTAGGGGTTAGCGAGAGCTACCCTCATCCTTAGGACCT